CACATACGGGCTGTCAAGGCGCTCTTTCCAGAGACATACCCACAATCGACTGGCATATAGGCAACCATGGACGCGCGGAGGCTGCTGAATATTTCGATTTGTCACATTCGTCGTGTCTCATCGATCGGAATTGACTGGGTTCATGCATACGTGCGACTGATTGCAACCGTCGGGCGCCAGTGCAGCTTTGCATCGAAGCACGTACAGTGCGAATGTGTTGCTAACGCAGCTAACACCACAATGTGGGTTAGTTCACATCGAACAGACAGACTGCGTCACTCAAGGTGGTCGTTTGGCAGAGATTCTGCGCGATATTTGACAATCAGCAAAACAATAAAGCAGTCAAGCAACTACACACATGCTAGTCGCACCCCGGATTTTAGCTATGTGATATTAACCTCTGTATGGGTGTACTAAACGACAAAATATGTTCGCATTACGTGACCATATGCGATATACGTACTGAAGGTTAGTGTCCAGGGCGTTTCATAAACAATGGTGTCTAGCTAGAAATTTGACGGAGCTTATATTCCTACAGCAAGCAGCAAGTCTTAGATACACACAGATGTCACGAAATGATTTTTATCCCACGACCGACTGGGGAAGAAAAATGACTGAGACCTTGGTAACCTTACAAAAGTGGGTGCTACTGGGAAACAAAAGGAAATTTGGTTTCAAGTAGAACATAAGGTTGATGGAAACCCGGGGACTGCGCCTACCCGATGAGCCGCAAAAAGGGCGAAACCGGTCGTGGGCTGCCGACGGACTTTCAGCAACCTTATGAGTAGTACATTACAAAAGGACATTTAATTTTAACGCACAAGCTCTGATGGGACACTTCGAATAGGCGGTAAAGACGGAGGTTATTCAGCTCCTCTACTGAACCTTAGGCTTCATAATCGAAATACAACGCTCAAGCATAGGGTTCATTAGATTATTTTTGATAGCTCGGGTGTATCCTCAACCCATGCGATTTGTGACGAAACGTCAGCAAGCGAACTGACAATTTCGGCGAACAAATGAACACCCACTTGATATACAACCAAGTGATTCTGGTTCGGTTATCTCTTGAATGGCGAGATTTCTATGCCGAGCCGACTCTCTCCAAATGCCTTGTCTAGCAGCATTACAGTAGGTACTGATTCAACGAAATGATGAGGCTGGGCTTTGCGCTCACCGCTGGTAACAATGGGTCAAAAGCGTCCCTTTCCGGGCCAAAATAGGAATGGTGCGATCAAGTTTACCGGTTACGTGCCAACCGCGTTCGCCGGTTATGACATCACTAGCAGAAGTTTCTTCCGTCACAGCAACAAGCCTTAGTTCACTCAAGTCATACAGCAATCACCGCTGTGACAACCCAAAAGCGGATACAGCGCTGCGTCACTATTCTGTTGATTACGTCACAGTCGACTGGCGGAAATCGATCAAAGAGAGCTCGCTTCAATCCAGGTTTCTATCAGATTACGGAGCTGTTCGCCAATCTTCGCTTGTTTCATTGGATGTTCAACTGTATTTGCTTATGATTGGTTCACTATTTGTTTGGAGTCATCAATTCTTCGTTTGTTCGAGGTCCCTAGCTGTCTTAACTTGCAATATTGAATATACCAACAGAACGTTATTAATTGGATGATCAAGACTTTCAAGTGTAAATCTCTGGCGAATGGTTGAATGAAGGCTTCACAAGTCTGTATCACTATAGGCAGATCGCGTTGTCAGCTGGTCTCACATTGGGTTCTACGTGACCGCTAATCCTACACAGTTAGTGCAAGTGACACGTTGACCAACATTGTTTAGCGATTTCACAGCCGTTAGAGCACGACTTTGAACTTGTATCCTTTGACGCATTACCAATACGCGGCATCCGAGCGTCCTATTGAGCAGATGCTGCTAACTAGCTCGTGGTATGTTCTCGCAGGGCTTCGAAGGCGTAGTTTCCGCATGGAAAGATTCGTTCTTAGAGCCTGGGTGGCGACGCGACGGTACTTTTATGAAACGAATGAATCAGATCTTGAATATTCTTGCCTGCCCAGGGCTGAGGCGTACTAGTGCAGAATCGCAGACGTGCATGGTGGTCGTCAGCCCCCGAAATTTGTCACCAAGATTGACTTTTATCTTCTAGCTAGGTTTGATTAATAACCACAGAATCAGAATCAACAAAACAGCGAAAACATCACCTAATAGGATCTCGACGTCTAGTTATAAGGCGTCGGATCAACCCATGTTCTAGCTTCAGTACATTCGTAGAACGTGATCGACAGTGCGTTGCAATCCACAGCATACACACAATATTTATTATTGTTGCCTTGCTACAGTCCGCTTCACAACAACTGAAGGAAGCAGACTGTATGCGAACAGATCAGACTGATTTGTAAATGTGCTATTTTTGCACCGCTGTTATGGGCATTGATTTTGAGTGCATCACATGCTGTTCACAAAAAACTTACGATTCCACATTCTAGCAAATTTCTGATCGACATATTACACCTTCAATCTGTATTGCAACTGTGACGTCCAAATGAACGGTGTTGCGCGCAAATAGCACGTCGATTTGTCTACTAAGCCGAGTCCAACCAAAGATAGTTTGCTGAAGTGACGAAAAAATGCATCGGCGGTGATTACAATATTAACTTTTTGAAAAAAAATCCGGCTAGTGAATCTGAATCAACCGCAGCGAACAACTGCATTGTGGTCTCAGAAAATTTATTCTATTCGGTTCTGGAGGAAGGGTCTCCCGAGATAGAAATCGCCATTGGAGGTAACCGCGTCCCACCAAAACGGTTCATGGGAGGAATGCTGAAAATTAAGATTTAATGATATTGGCTTTTGTCTGATAGACAGTTTCACATCGATTTAGACAAGATAAGCAGATGCGTGCTGTCCAGACCTGACTGTATGCGTCTCAGTAATGGATTTCAGGAGTGACAAATATCCAAACTATTTGTTACGATCAATGTGCTAAATCCTGTAAGCCTGACAGAAGAACTCCGCACAGAACTGCCAGCTGAGTGCAGAAGAAGCTACTCTTATCAATCGCGGAAACATCCTAGTCAGGAAGGTGGTCTCCAAACGTCTTCTTGAGGAGTACAGCACAGGGTGTCTGCATCCTATATAACAATGCCTCGATCGGAAGAACGAACAAAGCCGACAGATGAAGATGAGGCATTTGATATTACAGCGATTAATTTTAGTGTTCCAGTAGCCAACCGCCCTTTCTATAAACTAGAGGAGATGTGTCTAATTAGACAATATTGTCACACACTCGCCGCTTACCATGGAAGGAAAACAAAACTCAATTCAAAAGCTCAAGGCCGTCCGCGAACTTGCAGCACTCAATGAACCAGCGCACCCAAATCAAATTAACGGTGAGAAGTGAAGATATGGGTTTATTCAATCTAGATTTCGTCCTCTCAGTGAAGCAGATATGTGCTGAAAACAGTGAAACCCTCTGCAGCTCTTTCATCCTTATTGGGAATAATCAGCAGTACGCATCTTCTGAAAGTCAGAGGTTCGAACCCGGCCAGTGATTGAACGCCTAACCGTTTGCCCACGAGCAGTTGGTCAGCGGTGTGATGAACCTTCACTTAGGTCATGACAAAACGAAATCCTAGTTGGAAATTTACCAAGTCTCCTCATACAACTATCAGAACATGCTTGTGCTACATTACATCTAAAGTAAACTTGCACTTTTGGTTTGAGTGATGTATCCGTCAGATTGGGCTTACTTCACCACCGGGATGTGGGAAAACATCAATGCACTGTAAAATGGTCCCGTTGTCTATACGGAAACAGAAGTGCCGCAAAAACAAAAGTGCATCTGAGGTTGATTTATTCAGATATTTACTTACACTTGCGTTATTTAGCCTAGCTGAAATTACCCAGGAACTCGAGATAGTCCAGTGGTTACTGCGCGAACTTACTGACCGGAAGGTTCTGGTTCGAATCCAACCTCTGCATCATCATCATTGACAGCACGGCATCAGTGTTCAATACCGATGCTTCACTGCTGTACAACCATGACTTATTTGAAAGCCTTATTGTAAAGAAAAGAATAAAGGTGGACGGGGAAGGGACTTAGTGCTAGCTTAACACAATCATTCCGAGGTGACTACTCCTCCAGACATTCACACAGGCAATCTGGAAAGAAACTGACAACAAGAACGCCACTGGCATCGGTTAGCAGCCATATCTTGTAGTGTCTCCAACCAGGCACAGTGAGGATCACGCGGTCCCCACCCTGGAAGGCGAGTAGCACCGACAGCACCTACGCGTTTCGTGATCTCCTTCATACTCCTCTGCCAAGTCAAGGGTTGGCCACCTCTCTGCATCTCGAATGCCCATGTCTAAGCTTGGGCAACGTGAGAGTGTCTAAGCCCAAATGCTTCCTTCGGGTGGCATAACAGCTAGGCCCTGAAAGGGTGCTACAGCTGAGCGATTGTCATTTACTCCGAGAGCTATGCTTAGGCGTCCAACATAGCAAACCAGCCTGATAAGACTAGAAGCTACAGTTGTATACCAGGCAGGAGGTTTTCGTAGCTAACAGAAAGTATGACTCAGTGTAGTGTGCGCTCGGCTTTCCTTTCTCTCCCGGAAGAAAAAGCTAATAAAATGAGTCATACATGACAATGAACCATACTATTCTTCGGAAAAACAGAGAAGGACCAGACAACCTAGCTAGTTAGTGACTGTCGTGCACGTGCGTCCACGCAGTCAAGCTATATGAAATCGTTTTTGTCAAGTACGGATAGTTGTAGGTCAGAAAATCATTCCAAGGTTCACACGACTTGGCAACATTTGCCGTTGTCCGTTTAGTGACTCCATATGGTACACATATTCTGATTAGCACAACTGAAGAATGATTTATCAACTAGTTGGTGTACCTTTGTCCCGTTGCGCACTCCATGAGCATAACACGTTCGTGAGCATCTTCGAAGCAAGAGAATGAGGACACGCAAAAAGTGTGCATTTGAATTCAAAACACCTTATATGTCACTCCGCCCATATTTCTGTCTAGGTGACTGCCAAAAAAACAAGCCACTTTCACTTTGTTTCTTGTACAAAATGCCAACAAATACAAACAGAAATGGGTGGGCCAGTTTGTGGATGGGTTGGGATGCCACAAAATGAAGGCCTGCGCATGTGAAACCGGATGCTCCATAGGGCTACATACAGTTCAGGAGATAAAACAGAATCCCGGACCGGTCGTAAAGCAGGCGGATAGTAAGAGGGGCGTCGCACACAAGAACAAATAGTTTTGTCAGCCAGATTCAGTTTTACGAACTGGGGAGAGGAAAACTAACTGGAAAGCAAAGCATACAGTGTGTGGACTGACGTACTCGCGGTTTTTCGACTGCATCGAAACATGGGAGCGCTATGGATTTTGCCACAGTGAGAAACAATTCACATGGGAGAAGAGAAATAAGAACGGGGACAAGTTGGAAATCATCACTGATGTTCGGAATTATGTACATTCACGGGATCTAAATACGTCACCTGTGAATTTGACAGGAAAATTTGTGGAGGAAGATCTTGGCGCGCTGAACAGTAGAAAACGATGTGGTCGGCCAAAGGAACTTCAGTCGGTTCGTTCCTCAGCGTGGTACCGTTCGTTCAGACGGGCTAGAAGAGTCCGTATGTCCGCGCGTTTTTGGCCTACAGTATCGTCGGAAAACCAACTGGACATCTCATTTTGAAAGTAATCTTTTGTGTAGCTTTGCACTGGTTGCTATATGGGAAGGGAAGGAAACGGTAGAAAGTATAATGTGACAGCAAACCAACAAAAACTGGATAATATGGGACTCGTACGATCCCCGGTCAGCTAATACTGCGCTACGAGATCCCTTCCTTCCTACTGCGATAAATGTCGAGAAGACGTGAGGTCTGAGAAGAGGAGGGTTACATCTGCTAAAAGACTATACAACTAATACGATATGTAAGACGCTCCACAAACTTGAGTGCCGCTTTTTGGATTGTAAGTAGCATGTTCCGTAAGTGCATGCTCAATATGGGCGACCTTGCGCTTTGTGGTTACAAAGTACATGCCGCGGGATGAGACGACACCAATCGGTTCATCCAACAACACTTATGTCTTCTTTACCTCTTCAAAGACCAAAAACAGGTCGATGAGACACTAAGCAACCGGAATCTTCTATGTCAAAGCATGGAGCATTCAAAAAATGAATTCAAAACACTGATTGAGAAAACTTAGGGTTGTGGTTTTTTTAATATCCTTTAGACGTGCGCCTTCCACGCAACTCCACGAAAGACGGGGATTCTGACACTGCGGTCACTCAGGATTAGACAGGGGGAGAATACCTGGAGCACTTTCTGGTTAGTGATTTGCTCACTAGCTCAAGCTCCATTGTGGAAACGGCAGCGATTTCACGTCTTCAGTTTTCTAACACGTAATAAGGCGTTTATTTGAATTTGGTTCGAAAAAATAGCATACAAGTGGCGAGCGGAAAGTCAGACGCAAACACAACTCGAATAGATCCATCAGGGTAAATTAGAGAACTAATTGCCGAAAGCACAGACTGATAGAGGGAATAGGATGGCTACAAATGACATAAAATGGATACAAACAAACAGAACATGGTCTGAAAGGCGTCTGAATCCCATGCTCAAGAAAGATAAATAGGCCTACCTGACACGAGCGGTTCTAGCCGGTATATATTTCATAGCCAACTATTCTAAACAGTTCCGTAGATAACTTACTGTAGGGTACAAAGCAATCTAATGGCCACGGGCAATAGAACACATGAAAAACACATACAAAAAATAAGAAACCAACTGCACCAAAGGGGAATGAACTAACCTTGAAAAACATCTCGACATAATGTAACAAATAGATTCCGCAATCCACGAGATTACTCTGGCTTGGTACTCGCGGACTGAAACCACGAATCGTGTCCTTATCGAAATGCAGGGGTCCGTCTTGTTCCGATCTTCGTGAATCCCATTCAACCTGGAGGTAGCTAGTGGTTTGGACAGATGAACAGGATGAGCACATGAACCAAAGATGGGAAGTTAACTGTTACAGAATCTTCATATTTGTGTCCAGTGACATAGGTTAGCAATGAGAGCCGTTTGACAAAATGCAGCCTACAATGGGGTAAACCTCAGATAGTGTTCTAGAATGTTCTAAAGTAATCAATGGTGTTGGAAGTTATCTAGGCTCTCTTAGTTTGACAACAGCAATGTGCGAACCCGTTGATGGTGTGACAGAGCAACGCTGGTTGAAAGCAAGTGCATTCGCAGTGAACTCAGTAGTTGACAGCCTGAGTACAGAAATAATTCCAATTTAAATCCGTTGTCAGGTGCCTTTTAAAGTATCCAGAAAGACGGTTGCTTGACTACTGTGAATCAGTTGCTGGATCGATCCAGTAAAATGCTGCTCGCATAAGGGTGATTGGAGTTAGCATCCATGAAAGAAGCGATCACAGAAAGTGGACATGCAATCCTGTTTCTAAACGTCCTGTGGGATGTTTGTCTCGGAATAATCCTACAAGGTACATTATTGTGAAGTACCCACTGACAGATCACCCATGGTTCAGTTCAGCTTGCTAACTGACTGTCGTTCGGGTTCCCGCAGCTTATGAATGTGGATAGTGTAGAATTGTGGATGCGAAGAAAAACAATAAAAGAACAAAATGAGGAAGAATAACTGGGTAGTGATCAAGGACAACAGAACGAACATGACACGACCACCGGTTGCGCCAGTCTAGCCAAGACTCATTGTTCATACTCCATATCTAGGTAATGGGCTGACTACCTACCTTAGCAAACAGGACACCGAGAGGCACTCGATCGCCTAACATACAGGGCACACGGCCGAGCCAGCGTAGTCGGTGCATCCCCATCAACTTATCAATTATCCGAGCGGCGGATGTGTTGCCAAAAACCATTCATCGCATTTCAGCGTTGCTAATTCCATGCTCCCGTGATACATGTGCAATGCATCGAAGATAACAACGGTCAAAGAAAAGCAATCTTCCCTTGAATGGAACGCACAGCGTCCAGGTTTCACAACCGTAAGACAACACTGTCGCGTTGTAGTCCTTATCTTTCATTTGGGCATTGATGTCACGTCGACTCCACAGTGCCCAAATTGGAGGAAGACAGAACGAGCTTTAGAGATTCGAGCGATGCTGCTATTCGGTGTGATGTAGCCACTTAGATATGTGAATTTGTCCACTATTTCTAATGGTTCCGATACCATGTCAGGTTTTGGTGGTGTACTTGCCCAATAGCACTTTGCCCCTTGAAGGTGTAAAAGTTCATATCAAAACGCAAGGCAATATTAATCAGATTATTTAGTACATCGCTGTATCTGGATGGAATTTGCCCCGGTTAGTGTAACATCGTGCGCATACTTAGGGTTTTCTTCCCAGGAGGTGGAGGACATCGCGAACAGTCCTTCGGAAATCGATTCGATTGGGAATTATAAGAGGAAAGGTGACAAAGGACAGCCCTGATAGACTACTTTTGGTGATGAACTCAGGATAATTCTCTTCGTGGACTTTCACGCACTCGCAGTAAAGTGAAAGGAGAAAAACTGGGGTTGAACAATATGATTCAGCTCCTGAAGACTGCGCAGATCAGCATCGGCACCTGTCCGCCATGATGGCAGTGCTCTTAACGGTTCGATGGAAACCTTCATATTTCCCATGATCTCTTCGAATGCGTGCACATCAATTGAAATTCCATGGATCACACCATAAGCCTTTTCAATCTGCGGCGTCTACGGTAAACGACGTTCCTTCTACTGGCAGCTAGTTCAGATTAGAACCTCCAAAAATGTGAACGTCTATTTCTGTTAGGCGGCTTGGACACCGAAAGCCAAACAAATACTCCGCACAACCCACATGGTGTCCACGTAGACATTGCCTGTTTGTTTGAAAATAAACGACGCAGTAAAATCAACGGAGTCAACCCATATTCTCGATTGTATCACTCTGGACCGGTCGGCATTGGTATTGGGCCTAACCACATAAGCTCATATATATCAAGGGGGCCTATATATCTGGTGTTTAGGATACCTCGCTCCGTATGATTTCTAGTCAGTCTCTCCTCGACACGACCATCTGACCACACATCCAGGAAATTTGGGACACACCGAAATGAAGTCGCGAACTGGGTATCGAAGCTGGAATCTCTAGATGAACGCAAGTTGGAATACTATGTGACGTTATCGGAGGCTGTGGCCTTGGTCAACACTTTGAAAGTGCCGAAATGTCTGAAAAGCACTTCTTGACAATATGGCCGAATGAGTGAGAACAGTTCGCTAGCTTGAAGACATTCTGGGCTTTCTCAGTAAGGGAGTGGAAATCGTACCGAGGTACAGCCCAAAAAGGCACGCGAGCGGATTATGCACATGCACGCGTAATATTCAGGTTTCAAAACCCCCCATCAGATTTGACATCTGAAGCGTCCTAACATTGTGTTGATAGTATAGGAAGATTTGGAAATCTCAACCGAAGTTTCAAACTGCAAGTGGGTTCAAGCTATGCGGACAGGCCGAGAAGTACCGATAAACGACGCGTTAAATGAATGTCCAACATTCAATTCCAGGCCTACCATAAGCATATGAAGCCTTACTCCGACAGGTAGATGTTCGAGAGCTTGAAATGTGTGTGAGAATCAAGACGATTCAAGCTGGGGTGATCAACCATCAAACTATGCTCATTGATGTTGCTTCGGAATAACGCAGCTCTCTGTGTACCAGTGACTCCACAGACCATATCGGCTTTGAAGCCGTAAAGCAAAATGGACCATCAGACCGCACACGGGCGTTGTCATTCTAGAGGTCAGTTTTAAAATGGCTCACCACAGTCAAACCGGGTGTTGATCGTTTGCGAAATCAGATGGTTTAGAGGATCAGGCGAGAAGTAGGATTAGATTGAAATATGTACAGACCCCACCACTGGCCGCCGCTCGAAAAGCTGTAATTCGCAGAGAATATGGAGACGCATTATCCTACCAAGAGGACCGCTACGAGGAACATAACAAGAACTGAGCTCATGTAAGAAGGGATTGTGAACTACCACACAGCGCTACGTATTTTCGGCGGCCCACTGCCACAGACGAGTGCTCCATACCACTTTAATTTTCTCAGTAAATCTTTCCGATAGAATGTCAGGGATCGTTGACCGATTGTTTGACGGATGGCGCTTAACAGTAAGCAGTTGATCGCTATGTGGTTGCCAAAATACACGATACTCGTGGAATCGAATGCGATGTTACATACAGAACAACTAAGGTTTAGAAGACGAGAAAAGGTGGGCAAACATGTTGACAGTCACAACGCAACATAGGCATCTTGGTGGACGTCAATCAGCACTGAACGCCGCGTCGCCTGTAGACGGTTCGAATGAGAACCCTAGTCACGTAAGAACCACAAAGCCAGGGGAAACGTCATGGATTCGACCTGTTGCTAAAAAAGCGGGTACAAATCAAACAATCAAAATTGTGAAAAAAAATACAAAGTCGATTCATCACTTAAAGATCGATGGAAAACAGACTATGTGGTATAAAACTTACTCGCGTATCACGTGCAGATTGCTCACCCTCGTTTGACAAGGAAGGGAATCAAACAAGAGGATGCAGGGCCTAGATTCAGCAAAAAAACGAAAGAAGGATAGGAATGGATAGTAAATAAAACGGCTGAAGAAATCATAGATAGAAACAAGCTTTGGAAGTAAGTGAAAGTCGAGACTATTGGACTACTAGATATCTCTCCTAAAAGTCCATACAGTGGTCACAGGTGATATGATACAAGAAAAATCTCTGGATATCAGCAGGCCTAGGAATATTGCTAACAACGTATACCACTGGTCATGCTGCAATGGTATATTAGTCTTGTGTGGTTAACGTAGTGACAGTTTTATCTGCTAGCTATGGGTACTTCCATGCGCGACCAATCGGGCTACTACTAAGGCATCTAGTGGTTGAACTGATTCTGCTCATCCGTCCACACTTCAAACAAAACTTTGATGTAAGATTACAGTCAAGATACAAACATACATATTGGATTGGGCAGATACTTGTTTGTGAGCGCTGAAAATCTACCTGACTTGAAAAACCTTAACTATCAACTACCAACTGCGAACGTGTCATACGCTGGCTCCAACCACTGTAGTTTCGTTTACCAATGTAGGAAAGGGTTGAATAACTAATTAACAATCAAACAGTGACAGCCCCTCACTACAAAACTGTCGCTCAACTCAAAGTGAGTGCGAGCGTTGAAGTACATCGATGATGCCAAAGAATACAGATGTGATCAAAAAGTGAGAACTGTGTTCGAGCCAAGGACCTCACAGTGTCTTGGAACACAGTATCTTGTGTGATGGCTACTGAGCTATCTCGGGTGCACTGAGGTAAAAAAAATCGTCAACTTTGAAAGGCGAATTCGGTGGTGGCAATCGGCGCTTCGTTAAAGAGATTGTACTGGAGGCAATTGCTTAGGTGCAGAGACATCAACAGGTGTGAAACTGAATCATGCTTGCCGGTATCTTTATTCACTGATAGATCTTGCTTTCAGTTTCCCATTAAAGCTGACCGCAACTGAGAACACAATTTAAGTTACTGGTATCGGATGCATGCCTAAACACCCTTCATTTCAAGTGGTCAATGATTGAACGAAAGCAATTCCTCAAGGAAGTTGGTCTGCTGACATAAGAGGCACCGCCTGACTATTGAATCATTCAGTATCCTCAAGTGTTGCTCTTAGCTGCTGCATTTTAGGTCAAGATCACCAATTTTCTATGGCCTGCATATCGGACATAATTGAATGGGATAAAACAGGGAGTGGTGTTTCCCGACACAAAGCTAATTATATTAGGTTGTTGGGATGAATTTCTGCATGATTGGTGAGGTGCCTTACCATTGTATTGAGGTGTGATTATGCTGATATCAGTGTCCATCAGATGGCTGGTGTTTACCCATCATTGATGCAACCGGTATATAAAATTGAACCTCAGTGCACAGATAATGTTTATGTCTGTACAGCCCCGTGCTAAGCATGTGAAAAGCCACCTGATAGTCCTTAGCCACATTCAGAAGGGCGATGGCTGAGTCCTTCCGAAGCATTTTAACCTGTTGGGTGGACCAGATCGGGCCAACCATTCATGTTATTCGAGTCGTGTGCCTGGTTGTCTGATGTGGACAGCGGGACAACTTGAAAAACCAACCGCACGCAGTCTGTGCCCTCATCTTTAAGCACATAGTCTTTTTTTCATACTCAGTGTTACTGTAAGGCGTACTACGCTGAACACTGAGCATCTGGCAGCCGTAGAGTACGTAGCGTATGACTTCTGAGACACAGTAGTGGAATAATAGATTTGTAGCTCATTTCATTTCCATGGTTGATAATGATCCAGGCGCTCTTTCGGTGCTTAGCCTCCAAGTCACAAGAAGGATTCACAAGGGATGAGATACTGTCAGTTTGCCCAAGCCTAGACAGCACCAGTCAAGATGCTAAGGTTGAATAGGATCTTAACCACTGATCTATCTCGAGTTCATGGTTACTCATGCCTACATTGTTTGTGTTGATTTTGATGAAGCGATTGGAGTATCAATTGAGGAACTGAATGAGATAAGTCAATTCAATGATACGATCCGCTTTATTTGAGCGCATTCGTCTGAATCGTCCAAAGGGCATTTGATGCAACTGGAGTTACACCACTAACAATTACATATGCAGATTTGGAGGAAGAAGTGTGGAGATATGGAAATACTGGGAAGATCAAGATGGTGGATCTCTGGTGCCATGAGTACGCAGTTATGAGGAGTTTCTGTGTACTTCAAAACAATCTTATCTAGGAGATGTACACTCAACTGCACACTAATTTAGTTTGGAATCTCGGCTAGGCTATAGTCAAATTCAAACGTTAGACCGGTACAGACAGAAAATCGCCAGCCAACTCTCCAGGAATGTCTGTAGGTGGATTACTACAACAACCGGCTAGAACTTTATTGATAAAACCGCGAGATCAATTAGGAGGAAGCGAGTAGCCAATTACACGGTGCCAAGTGAAAGCTCGAACCAGCCAGTTATCCGCTGGGCTAACTGAGTGCGAAAAACCTCACTCATGAGCACAGCGTGAAATCTAGCCATGTACGCCACGTTGGGAATAAATGAATGTGGTCCTGTGCTCGCCTGCAATAGTCAGGCATTGTAGAAATTGATCGAATTATGTCCAACGTAGAAAGCGTCACAGTTGCATCATTTCTCATACATTTCGTGGACAAATGTGCCATTCAGGACACGCTTTTGCACCCTGTTCCTCCAGTCTTCACCTTTAACCCAGTTACCGTCTGACTGTTGTTTTACATTAGGCAGTGTGGTAAACTGTTCCCATTCTTTCCAATCTTTAAACGCCCGAGACATCGTATGTTGTACTTTAGTAGGTATTGATCACAAAGGTCCAGTGGAGCCATTTCACAGATTCCGTTCGGTACGCAACCGAGTCGGGCCCGTACACAGGCTGTTTGCTGCGAAACTAGCCATTTGAGCGTGGGTTGAATTCGTCATGTACTGACTCAGATGATGCGCTAGCAAAGACTAAAAACAATCAGGCTTCCTGTCTGGCCTGCTGTCAGCTCTGGGTTAGCTTGCCGATACCGTACGGCACCCAGCGTATCAGCTGTCCTGAGTGTTTCAACAAGGGACTAACAGTCGTGAGACAGCACAGTCAGTGGATACGGCTTGCATGTTGATTCATGCCATGTCCAGATCACTCCAACTCTAACCTTGAAAGAAGCATTGTGAGCACTGAAGCTGTCTTGCACACAAGTACCCAGACTACGTCCTGCATTCGGGTTCTCACGTTGGCGGGTAGGTCAACCAACCGTAGTGTTTAGCGGCCATTGGCTGAAGCGTGACGGAAATGGTATAGTCGCTGTGAGCTGATGCGCACAATCAAAGTGAGTATTCAAGTCCTACGTGACAGGTGTGACTCAGTCGCTGATCAAATAAAGCATTGTCATGAGAATACGCACATACGCACCATCGATTCTCCGGAGAAAAGATGCGGGACGAGGTAGGAGAATAAAACACCCATGAAGAATTTGCACAAGCGTTATTTGCTTGCCGCTGCTGGGAAGGCGAAGCGACAGACGTGCGCACACACTGCCAGGCGAAGAGTGAAGGTGCGTACACCGATATCCAGGGTGGTTTGGAATTTGAGGCCTCCAAGGAGTTTTGCCGTGCAGCGTTTTAAAAGCAGGATTAGTAGTATAATGACTCGGGAAACATATGGCTTGAATGTTGGGTTCTTGAATACTTCCGACGTAAGATTGCATTTGATATGTGCTGAACTTTAGTCCAAGCGACCGCTGCAAAGTACTTTCCGGTCTATACGTTGACTGTCATGTTAGGTTCACACACGGTTTCAAGGTCAAGTATGCTTTCACTCGGGAACTTACAACGTTGATACGCTACGCTATCGTAACTAAAGACACAAATAAACGGTATAGAGGCCTACTGAAAATAGAGCTAAGGGGTTAACAGTCATTGCCTTATTGCACAGGACACCAGTATGCTGGTACACAGAACTTAGGTGGGTGCAAGAGGAAGACGCTTCACAAAAACAGCTTCGCACGCGGGGACAAATTCCATACAATGGTTGTGATGAAAAAAAACGAAGCTAGAATTCCGGGACAGAGTGGAAGAATGGTATGATAAACATGAACAATCAAACAAGACACAGTGCACTCACATAGCATTGATACCACGCGAACGAAGCCAAGCCAATCGACGTCGCCTCCAGCGATCAAACGCAACACCCTATGAGACAAATCATTTGGAAAGAACAATAAACGTACACTCCGGGAATGTGTCGCATCAAAAGCAAAGTTGAAAATAAATGACAACAGCGCGTTCAAAATAAGTGGCTTTTTTGGAAACCGGCTAGAATGCACTAGGGATAGATATCAATCAGGGAACAAGCACTGTTTGTGACAGGACATTCGATAAAGGCGAGTATATATGATCATAACTCAACAAGAGTGCCTTTACGATCAAAATTTCCTCTTGTAAGTGGAGCCAATCTATGCACGGTCACTCGGAAGATTATTGAGATGGTTCAACAAGGATGAAACAAGTGGGAATTGCTTCTCCACATAAGTGAACTTCATTTATGGGACGAAATCTCAAGCAGGAAATTTCCACAGTTTCCCATGAAATCTTTTTTAACCATACTTACTTTTCATGCAGGTACGAGGCAGGGAACACCAAAAACCAAAATGACTATTGTCTCGTGTAGCTGTGTGAAACAACACTGTACAAGTTCAAAACCGATACAACGACTGTTTCTAAAGTCTTCAAGTCATTATATCCTGGGATTTTTGTGGGGTGTCGCGATGAAAAGCGCTCGAGAAGAATCTCAGGGTGTTGATACAAAGCCAAAGATGGCTCAAAGTTTTGACATGACACCCGAACCGCTGCGCACTTATCATGGCGCCATAAATTAGCATCAAGGCATTTGTGGATTTATATGAACACTGTCAATTTACCGTCAGGTCATGGTAACAATTGTATCGACAAAGGACCTATCTCGTGGAGTAAAAGAATACCTAAAACCGACGAAAACCAAGGTGCCCAAGATAAAATGTGATGCGTTTCCGTACTGTCGTGGCCCAGGAAATTTGAGAACCAGTGGGCGGAATGCCGTCACATGAAAAATTGAAAGAGAAAGAAGTCAGGTAAAAAGCGGGGGGCGACCTTCCGTCGTTCGGGACTGGAAGGGTAAGAGGTGGTCGACCTGAAAGTGCGGCAAATCAAGTGACCTGACTTTTGGGACAACCATCAGCATAGGAGGTGACAAGATCAAAAAGTAATGAGGGGCACAAATTCTCAGTAACCAACTCATATAAACAATGTTCGAACGTTTGGTCAACTGCCCACAACTATGGGACGAAAGAACCAGTATATCCCCATTGTACGCTAAAATTCAGTTTATGTAGACCAACAGATCAAATAATGCTGACGGTGACCGGCTGACTAAGCTGGCGAGGAGCAAAATCTACAAGCAAAAAGTAGCCCAAGTCTAGCATGACATGAAAGAAGCGCATCCAGACCAGCAGAAATTTTTTAAGAAAGTTGCTGTCCGGAGCACCCAAAAGGACTCACCTTAGGATCATCTGACCGCCGTTCAATTGGTTCCTGGCTGATTGTCTTGTCATCAACGTCGTTCGGGAATTTGATGAGATCCACATCGAGAAATTCATTGGTGAGTTGGCACAGATCAAAGGCAGCCGCTCGATACAGCGCTGTGTAACTGACCATTCCGGCCATCCACGGATAACAAACCAAGCCGAGAAACCAGTGGGAACTGTACGGGGTATGTACACAAAGCGTACAAAGCAGGAAGTAAGGCACAAACATTACATGTAAACAACTATGGTAATTAGGCAGCGGCAGACAGACGAGTCCGCGCTCACCCCTAATAAAATTTGCATTGAAAGCACTCAGACAAACGAGGCTGCTACACACCTCACGAAGAAACCATCCATAACATTTATTCGAGAACGCTGACACTCTGAAAGTGACTTAGAACGGCAAAAAGCATCGACGTGCCATATTTGAACTTCTGAAAGTATAAGGAGTATGAACACAAGAAAAATCAGATCGCTGCGACGAAGTCAAGTTACCACATCGAGGTTCTGTTGCAAATTGATGCCGATCAGCCGGCAACAACTATTCGTGTGGGGATTTAACTAAAGGGCGGAATACACTTCAAAAGAGCATGCCCAATTATATATGACCTCCTAGCCGGCCTTTAGGACTACGCAATAGCTCAGTTCAACTGTTACCTTCACGTTACATGAAAGCTACCGACAACACAAAACGCATAAAACGTATTATAGATATTGGTGATAATATACTATTCGGTGCCAAATATAATTAAATGCAAGGGTTAGAGAGAAAGCAGGACACTTTTTCATCACCCCGCACTTTAGCCCATGCAGGACAGAGTTGTTTTCTTGTGCAGAAATATAATCCGAAAATTCTTTAGCGGTCCGCTGCATTGCTTGTTTCCTTGGGTGGGAAGGCATACCAATTAGTGCTTATCATTCCGCTGTCTGGAGCAAACGTTGAACCGAACACATGTTTGTCTGGTCTACTTTTGTCCTGGCCTCATCTCCGTTTTATGAAATGATATCAGAGTGACAGAATCTCCCGCCGTGTAAAACACGAGGGTGGTTCATGGTTCTCATGTGCACCAGCGCTGTAACTGGGACCTGGATGACACTTACTACCACACACAAAGATAGTTTGTAGTCAGAGACCCTCCAGTAGAACAAGCAAAACAAGAGTAGAGCGGCTCTAATGGAGTCTTGTTAAAACAAGCCTTGAGAAGAAGTCGTGAGTACAGCGGAGCATATGAGTTCCAGATTGTAGTTACGGTGGAAAAAGGAAGTAATCGGCTTGACAGCGGGGTAGCACAAATCGATTGAAACGACGGAATCAATAAAGGCGAGTGGAACGACTGGACATTGGGAACGGCAAGCGATCGTTAGAAATCCGAAGGAAGGCAATGGTAAGAAGGATGAGGTGGACTGAAAGCAGTAGCACCATCAGCAAATGCGTCAATTCTTACGGGAACAGCAAAGAACATATGATTTACCGGAAACAAAAAGGGCTACACAGAAGAACGGAGCATTGAGGAACCCCACGGAAACTACCCATAGAGGTGCTCACAAACGTTGGAATCCAGCTGATTAATCCCGAATGTAGACCGTACAACAGTCGTTAAGAGAGAACAGCGTGTCAAACCTGACAGAAAACTCTCAAGGAATTAAGTGACGTTGCTTTCGTTATACCAAACTTGCTCACCACAGACTAGAAGTGTGACACATACGCTTGCAGATACCCTGTGGGACAGCTGTCTCTGAACAAGTATCAGTGAGCATTCATCAGACATGCACTTTAGACCATGCAGCAACTTTTTAGTCGATAAAGATCCCAGGGATTCGGACAAGATGTCGATGAATGTGTGCGCGGGTTGAGCATAACTTCCCCCCCCCCAAAAAAAAAATTAATTTGTTAGCTGTAGCATCCTTTCGGTGCCTAACTGCCATGCTACCAGAAGGTAGCGTGAGAGCTGGGATACTGCCAGGTTTCCCAAGCCTAGGCAGGGGAAGTCGAGGGGCAGAGGTCAGGTTCGAACCACGGACATTCCGGTCAGTAAACTGGCGCTCTAACCCCTAAGCCACTGAACGTAACCCAACCCTAAGTGAGTTTTCCCGTAAAATGGGGGAATCATCGTTCAGACAAACGAACTGAAAAGAGGAAGCATGATGTAGGCCAATTCTGGCTAGACATAACAGATTTTATCTGGACCGGGAGGTTTGAAAACGTCAAATGAGAGAACGATTGGCGGACGCTCCGTGTGGTAGGATAAACGGGTAAAGCAGAGGATGAAGCGTCGGAGTTCTGAACAATATACTGAATATACTGGTTTCCTCTTCGGGGATACCATAAAAATTATGTGAAAGGGGAGGGGAACTGCCTTGGTTACGTTCCAGAGGGAAAAGTCTCTATGAGCGTTTTCGATAGCCGACATTGCGACCGACACATTTGTCGTTCATTCCATCGATAGCATTCTGGCGGAGGCGGTCAGGAAAGTAATCAGAGTGGGGGAAACAGAAAGCATTATTGAGCCAATGTCTATGCACGCTATTAACACGGGCAACAACACGGAGGCAGTCACGGTTAATGCGCGTCTAGAGAAACTGGATATAAACAAGTGTACATCATTTACAAGGAAATTTTTGTCGAATGCGGGGATGGGTTATTCAAGAGACGTTCCCGGAGGTATGAGAAAAAACAGACGCATACTTTCCCAGTGGACTGAAATGTGGTCAGAAATCAGGTCGATAGGGTGGGGGAAGATGGTGTAGGCACTGTAGGTGCAAGCAAGTGTTCATGAAGTGGTCTGAGGATTTTGAGAGGGACAGAAGACATCACGATACAGGGTGTGTGGCCGGGTTTGTGGGAGGTCACCGTCATGGTTCGGGACACGAGTGGGAGAGGTCACAGGGTGGGAAAAGCAATTGGTTTTAGAAAAACACTGCGGCCAATTGCGTCAGTTGAAGTTGGGTTAGTAAGGCATCTGGAGTTATGATTAGTGACGTCGGACCGTAGAATGATGAAACTTGACATTCGGGGGTACTTGATCGGCCCCGCAACAGGACAGGAGCCAAAGAAGCAAATATATCTATTAATTCAGGTGGTCGTAGATCAGATGGCTGTTGATCTGTTCGCCGAACTTGGCACTTTACTCGCAGCCGTTTCGTCGCCGATCGTGGAGAAAACATCAATGTGCCGTGATGGTAATCTTGACCGTGCAATTTATCGCATCACCCTAAGGTTGCAGCTCTCGTGCCTGTCAGTCCATCAATCAGTAACAATGTCGCACAATATCCGAGCCTGATTCCTAGCTTCTGATTTCGTGAGAACGAAATGCAGACTTATGCAATAAGGTAAATAGAATAACTGGAAGTAAACTTAGAAGATTCAGTTCAAACGATTGAGGAATTTCGAGCAAAAAAGGTTGAGTCGCTGATCTGTAGATGATTAGACCAAGAAGTGAAGACCTGAAAGGCACGGTATTAACTTACGCCTCATTTATTGGAATGATAATATAGTCTTTGCAAAATAAATCGACCCGACGCGTCCACTTGGCGACATTCGCATGACGCGCCTTGCTGGATCTAATGGGAAGAGAAAACGAAGGACAGATGCGTATAGCGCATAAAACAACTTCGGAAGCAAAGGCAAACAGATGTAGCGGTGGCACTGTATTTTGACTTCCACGATGCGTAAGTTTTGAAATTTTTTTAAAACGATTTCAGCGTGGACAGCTCCACAGCTCCGGAGTCAAGGTCATTGGAATACCGTGTTCTCATACAAGGAAGACGACATAAAGGAAGAAAAGGCAAAAAAAATCGTTCAGCTGTAGCGCCCTTTCGGTGCCTAGCTGCCATAAAACATAGAAGGAGTCACGAGGGCCGGGATACTGTCAGGTCGCCCAAGCCTAGACAGGGGAAGTCGAGAGACAGGGGTCGGGTTCGAACCACGGACCTTTCGGTTAGTAAATTCGCGCTCTAACCACTTGGTCCACCTCGCAGCGAGATAGTATATGAAAACAATAGGCAAGGGCTGCAAAGTTCAGCACTCAGTGAGCATTCTTGCAAATAAATGTAATCAAAGTGCACGAATTATGACCACAGAGCCCAAGGTAGAGTTAAATGGTTAAATAAAATAACTCAAAATGACTTCACTTGCAGGAATAGTTCTCAAACCGGAATAGTCCTCAAACCTCCAGCTACTATCAACGAACAACAAGTAGTCCAGGAGAGACAAGTGAGGTTTGCTTATAAGAAGTCACCCCTCGAGAAGCCAATTAACACATAATCATGTGATGTGGATTCCGTGATTGAGGGCTGAGTGGTGCGATATCCTAAGTGCGAGTTACCCACAAAACGGTGGCCAGCCGCTCGCGGTCGAACAATTTGGGCTTCAAACATCAGCCGGGTGATTGCGGGCTTCGAGTTACCCTGGAGATTCGTGAGTTGTACATTGCTCCTCCGCTTCAATTGCACCACGAAATATCGATTAAAAGATTCATATTCACTTTGCAAATAACCACGTTTCTGCTAATGATGTTACAAACCTACATACTTACACAGTCCACTTACAAATCTGTGTGCTGCAAGTGATAAAATTGAGTGGTCTAGGCATCGTTGGATCAGTGCAGCACAAAGATAGGACTATTGTTGATATAGGTGAGGCGTATAGTGCATGGCGTGTGCTTCGTTTACAGAAAACTCAGCAACAAACAGAGAAAATTCCGATGACCGGAAAACAACCTGATCCATCGCTGTGTGCTGTGTACTTTTGGCTGAGCACCTGGGAGGCTTGAGTAGGGGGTTTCATAAACGCTCTTTTTACGTACAGGGCGTTGGAAACAATACAAACCCATTTGCAAATCAATTTGGTTTTCGCGAGAGACTCAACTGAATCTCTCGTTTCTGATATTCTACAACTGAATGTGCTGCACACAGGCCGCCTCATGATTCAGTTGGCACGATATTCGAGATATCACAGTATGTTTTCATAAAGAAAACTACTCACAAGGTTACTGAAAACTCTTCGACAACCCATGACCGGTTTCGCCCTTCTTGGGGCTCATCAAATAGGCGCAGTCCCCTAGTTTCCGTCAACTTTATGTTCTACTTGAACCCAAATTGCACTGTTTTCGAGAAATACACTAATTTGCAAATCAATTTGGTTTTCGCGAGAGACCCAACTGAATCTCTCGTTTATGATATTCAACAACCTGATGAACCTCAAGAAGGGTGAAACCGGTCGTGAGCTGCCGAAGAGCTTTCAGCAACCTCGTGAATAGTTTCCTTTATGAGAATACAAACCCACTTTTGTGGCGTATGCTGAGGTTGGGAGATCCATTCAATGGTGTAGTGTATGAACAGTTTGTATTGACTGCATTCCAGGTGGCCTAAAAGACTATCTAGGTGGAAATGTCGGGAGAAAGTAGCGTGGGGTGCAATCACTTTCCGTGAGGCTTGCACTTCCATGTGATGGATCAGCCAAGACCTGTGTTCCCTAACAGCACTGCAAGTTACATAAGAGTCGACGACTCAACCGACCTGACCAATTGTGGATAATAAGTTGGAGCACACTGCTTCTTACAGTGGCGATGGAAATTTTCGACTTGCTGGCTGGCTAAAAGGGAAGAGTCATGCAGCGGAGAATGAATGGAAAGTGGACCGTTCGGGACAGTTAACGTGATGACCGGGTTATGAAGGCGATTGTTTGTCGTTTACACAATGAGTGACGAAATTATATTACGATGCATTTCGCCTGATGAACTTGGCTTGTTTGAAAGTTAGAGTGCTTGGCCCTAACACGGTACGTATTGTGACCATTCGAACTTTGGCCGAATGAATTTTGATTTCCAATGCAGGACGACTATACATGCTGCTCTAACCGTTTACGGTCATCCGTTTTCATAGGGAGAAACAAATCAGAGAAACGAGTACAAGTTTCCTGTGAAAGCGAGATGGACCAAGTGGTTAGAGCGCGAATTTACTGATCGGAAGGTCCGTGGTTCGAACCCGACCTCTGTCTAGGCTCGGGCGACCTGACAGTATCCCAGCCCTCGTGCCTCCTTCGTGCGGCATGGCAGCTAGGCACCGAAAGGGTGCTACAGCTGGACGATCGATTTTTCCTGTGAAAGCCAGTAGAGCTGGCCACAGAGATGAATATATGGTCTAATTGGTCGGTATGCGTTTCCACAATACAGTAGGATCACCGAATACGAAAGAATACCAAACGGTCGAACAAACAAGAGTGTGCTAGGCAGGACGATGATGAATTTTTCATCTTTGTGAGCTAACCAACAGAAAATAAGCGAGAGAACGGTAACAGACTGTGCTGAAGTTAGACATGGTGTAAAACTTAGCATCGACGAAATAAGCACGAATGAATGGTGAGAAATAGGATACCAATGGAGTAAATGCATACATATAAACGAAAGGCCTTCCCACCATCCTACAAAGGTCAGGGGTGATGTACTGAAAAAAGTACAAACGGTGCTTGCCTTGTCCCTGAAGGATAACAAGTTTAATGTAGCCCAAAGACGACCAATTGTGTCGGAGCCTTTGAATCATGCGACCACGCATTGTAAAGCCTGTTGGATTCTGGTGAAATTCACGTTTGCCTGAAGTTAACCAAGCTCTAGAAACTAGAGACTAAATGCACCCTGGCAAGTTGAATGCTGTTCTCAAGAAACGCTTTCCACCTCCATGCGACGTTTCCGAATTCAATTCTGATGCACTGAAATCGTCCAGCTGTAGCGCCCTTTCAGTGCCTAACTGCCATGCACGAGGTCTGGCATACTGCTAGGTTGCCTAAGCCTAGACAGGGGAAGTCGACAGGCAGAGGTCGGGTTGGAACCACGGACCTTCCGGTTAGTAAATTCGCCCCCGTGATGCACTGACATCTTTGTATTGTGGTATTCACAGGCCACCATGGCAAAACACACAGAACCACTTTCAAAACAATCATGTGGAAGGTTACCGTTTTATCGAAAGAGTCTGGGGATTAATGATCCATTGAACAGGGTAGACAAAAAACAAGTGTTCCGAGGACGAAAAGATTCGCTCCGGCGTTTTGCGCACGACCGCTTGTAGGTGTCCACTGATAGGTCAAGGATCCAAGTGTTTTTGATAAACCGATTACATGTAGTGCAATAGTCTTGTTTGCTGATATCGCACGTTACTTTGAACACTAAAAATCTATGCAGGAGATGCTGAAATATGCTAATCTCGTGGCGCCCTCAGTTCAAAGTAGTTCAGTCGAAGAAAGGCATTTGTGGTTGGTAGCTGGAACTATTTCCAAATGATGCAGAGGTAATGAAATTGGACGCAGATGGACGAGGAATGCAGTAGGAAAATAACACCAGACTTACTCGGGTATATGCCCAACAAAACCAGAAGCGTTATTCTGCCCGGTAGTCACATTCGCCGTGGGTGGATTTGCAGTAGGGGGTCGGCAATTATTGACCACCGGTGTAGGTGACACTCCAGCAAGCCTGCTATAGAAAAAGCAGTTGAACAAATAGGTGGCCTGGCGTTGCACATCCGTCAGCTGTTCGAAATACAAGTACTTCAAATAGAAATTGATGATAGCATCATTCAGCAAGCCTCCCGGAGCGAGACAGTCGAAATCCGCCTGTGTTAGTGTAACACTGTCCGTAGATCCGGGCGGTTTATAGTCAAATTTACTACAGGACGGGAGAGGTGGAATAAATTAGGTAAGAATACTCAGTCAAACCGAAGTCTAACGAGTCAGCTACACGCATTCGCACACACATACACACACATACACATGGGTGAGTCAGGATATTTCAGTAAGAATCATGGCGAACTCGTGTTTTCCCTGGGCGTAGCAAGTTGAGTGAGGAGCCAACTGAAAAATGCAGGCACATTCATGATCGTATTTTACGCAGTTTACGAGTAAGGCACACAAACAAAAGTACTTCCTGTGACTAGCATATGAGTTCGATTCATACGTAGTGTTTCTGACGTGTTTTGCCGCAGGTAACGTCATAACTTTATTTGATTTTTGCCAGATCAATTGTCAGAACCTACGAGGAGTGTTCCACCCTCAACGGGTTTCATCAATCACAGGAAATGTGATGTATCAAGGTCATGATCCTCGGGAAAGCATTCAGAACTTTACAGTCGCGGGTGTGTAGCCTTATATGATCGCCTCCGCGTCACGTATCACCCTCAGCCACCGCTAAAGTCGATGCATAACACAGTGGCGGAAATAGTAGGATTGATTGCGCGAAATATGTGACCAACAGATACATCGGCCAACAAGTCTGAGAGATTGAATACTTCCGTGCTGACACACAAACTTGGTGAACGGACCATGACGACTCCGGGACTCCAAATGAGTTGGACGCGCATGCTGTGAAAGTACACACCAGGATTACAGGATTAAATGTGGGGACATGAGTGAGTCATAAGGGAACGAGGCCCGTTTGGCCGACCACAACCCCTTTCAGGTTGTTGTCCACACACCTGCTACTCAGGTAAGTAGCAAAGTTCTGTCCATTGCTGCTTTTGGAACTTCTACTAAAAGGAAATCGTTCAGCTTTAGCACCCTTTCGGTGCCTAACTGCCATGCCACCTGAAGAAAGCACGAGGGCCGGGATACTGTCAGGTCGCCCGAGCCTAAGCGGAGGAAGTTGAGAGCCAGAGGTCGGATTCGAACCACGGACCTTCGGGTCAGTAAATTCGCGCTCTAACCACTGAGCCATCTCGCCTCCTTAACTCCTACTAAGGCCAAGGGCAAATAAAAGCGTCCCAGGTGGTTTGTTTAGGTAGGACCGGATAAAATTATGTACGGCCACGCGCAGTGGTTCTCAGTAGACACCTGGTTTGATCACTTTATGGTCCTCATAAAACGGACCGGTGGAGGGCCCCATGGACCTGCTGGGTAGATGGCTTCAATCGAAAGCGAGCACAGTCTAGAAGGATAGCCCTACCTCTTCAAAAATTAAAGATCACAAACTACGTCCAGCTACACCATAGGTGAATACTAGGTGTTCCATTGGGAAACAAAACCCAGCGGTCGAGAGAGCAGTTCGGAACAAGTCCGACCAGGAAAATGCCTCTAACTGACATACAAAGTAACTAAGTAAAGCCTAGTCGATCCTGAAAACTAGTTTCTTCTTTGCAATCAATATCTTCAAATTCGCGTATCATAGGCTTGATAATTACGAGATTCCCAATGAGAATGATAAAGCAGTCGAATTTGTGGACCAATTTCAACGAGCAGGCTAAATCACAAATCACACAGGGCAGGCATAGAACGACTGTCGAAGTGAGCCAGTGAATTAATAAAAGTGCTACACCCATTACACTTATAAAACAAGGACAACTTTTGACCCGAAAAGACAGACTATAATAAATCATGCGGACTAACTCCGGTGCGATTTTTGTGTGATGCTGGTAGCTCGTAGTGGAAATGGAAACAATGTATGTCCCGAAAATAGGGCAACTGCTATGCACCCGAGAAGTGGACTTTGAAGTTATCGTGTACTGACGTGTTTGTCAGACCTGAGAGTTTGAGCGACAATAGTCAGAGGCTGGGTGACGCACTTGTTGGTCAACAAGCATGGGTTTGTTAGCCAGCGCTTCGTCACAAAAAAAACGGAATGACAAAGAACGATAACGAACGTCCACATCTTCATTACAATGCTCTCCGATTTGAAGACCTAATCCAAGAGTTCTTCTGCTGTAAGTCGTACAAATATAGTGGTTCGGGTGAGTTAGACCGCTTCACTACTTGATTAGTAGTCGCCAAAAAAGAATTATGGCCAAAGGCGAGCACACTGGTATAATCTGATTCGTCCAACGAGTGTTGGAGTAGGACGTGCATTGAAGTTTGGAAAGCCGGGAATTCTCGTTGTTAGTACCTGAATCCAATTTTTAAACAAAAAAAAATTACTTACATCTGATTCCTGCCACTTTTGGTATATGTAACTAAGCTTCAACATTTGATGCCAAGCTCGTCCCCTGACCGTCTAACTGATCGAAATAAACCTTCGTTAGCGATGAGAAATAACAAAAAACAAAAATGCGGGGGTACATGGACGAAATGAACAGCTTACAATGACTCCACTTTTGGTATATGTAACTAAGCTTCAACATTTGATGCCAAGCTCGTCCCCTGACCGTCTAACTGATCGAAATAAACCTTCGTTAGCGATGAGAAGTAACAAAAAACAAAAATGCGGGGGTACATGGACGAAATGAACAGCTTACAATGACTGCGTCTGGGGCGCTGTTGAGGAATTGGGTTTGGGTCCAGCGGCTGAACTGAGGATGGGTGGAGAAGAGGTTCGGCTGCAGTCAGCACTCTCTTCGGAAAGGATGATCAAATCATCATTATCCTCATCCACGGCGTTCTGTAAACAGTGTCAAACGAATGAACAAGAGCTGAGTTAGGATGTGAATACTATCCAGGTATGATACAGGGAACGTTAATAGCCTGGGTATATTTGATGTTTTAGTTCGTGGAACTTGGCGATTGTGGCAAATGTTCTGTCACCAATGGAGGTGGCATCATCAGTGCGTATTTGGGTAGCGGTGAGCCGTGCAAGGATACACGATGACCCACCGCTATTCTGCCTGGTACCGGTGACGTAACCCCGATTGGTAACACAATCGCAAGGCCTAGCGTACAACTCAACTAGCAGCTATACAAGCATATCGCTCGTTTATTCGTCTGGTGAGTACACGGTGTCAAATAATAAAGATATAAAATGTAGTAGGTCAGAGGTCGACAGAAAGTAGAAGAAACAGGAGAGCGAACTATTCTTAGTGAACAGACAGAGCTAACTAGGAAACGTTCTGGCAATAAGCCCTAAATGTGTGGCTGACGTTGCCACTGGATTCAGTCAGTTCGGCTATCCGGCGACACACCATGTCACCAGGGGGCAATTCTCACCCCTCTGATCACTAAACTTCGTATATTCTTCAAATGTCTCAGGCTTGGATCGAAGCACACAGGTGCGATTCTTTCTTACTCTGTTATACGCATAAGTGTCCGGTCCCTACGCCTCCCAAGAGAGATGGCTCAAGTGGTTAGAGCGCGAAGTTAACGACCAGAAAGTCCGTAGTTCGAACCCGACCTCTGCCTCTCGACTTCCCCTGTCTAAACTTGGGCAACCAGCCCTCGTGTTCCCTTCGGGTGGCACGGTAGCTAGGCACCTAAAAGGTGTTACAGCTGAACAATTCAAGCACCTACATGTATGTTTTATTACTTTTGAAACTACCATGCTGGATTCTCTCTCCCCCAACCCGCTTAGTGAGCGACAGGGTGCTGGGGGCTACACATTCGTTCACTAATAATAGCGGGAACAAGGAAGAGGAACGATCCGAGTTCGGACGGTTATAGTTGTTCGAGAGATTAAGCGTGAATGTTATTATTCACTGGTATGTCGTGCCTCGAAATTTCCGTTCCAATACCACAGAGTTAAGCGAAGAGAACTTTGATACTCAACACAAAATCGTGCGAAAAAGCCCATCGCACGTGAGGCACGTGTACCAATTTGCGTGACTGTTTCCTTAATGTATTCAAGTCCCCGTCTATAAAAAAACACTTGGCATAGCGCAGTATTACTATGGATGCTCCTATAGGAACAGGGCAGTGGTTTGGTGGCACTGAGTGGCAAAAATGCAGAGTGATCTGGCGCTCTTTACACGGAAGACAGGTGGAAGGTTTTGAGTTTCAAAGACGGGCACGTTTGGTAGGTTTAACAGAAAAACTTGATACCGAACAAACTCTGCCTCAACCCATCGGTTATTGCGGAGGGTTGTGCTGTGAAAATGGGCTGGGTCCTATGTATAACACAAAGATAATCATTCACTCTAAATATTGTCCCTTCACTGCTCCAGAGGCCTCTCCAACAGAGAAGGATTAATTTACTTTCAATCATACATCCTTCCGAAGAAAGTGTGCGGCAGTTTTCAGGGCACTTATTTTCAATGGTACTTCATCAGTACTACACTCCCGAATGTTACCCATTATACCGTCGGGTAACTCGTAATTCTGTCGTTTTGTCCCAAGACCTAGAGGGTGCATGCTTTTATCAGCAGGACCCAAAAATCACCATTTCCTGTAAGTTACCGTGAGAAGGAGAATAACAGATTGCCTTCTGCACAGTGGGTAACTCAACTGAGAATTCTATTCAGCACCATAATCTCCAGGGTCTTGTTCACATGCCAAGCATCATGATCATCACTGATAGCATGAAAGCATTAGTGCATGACTCCATAGCGTGCTCAGTTATTTAGAAGAATGGAGCGGAGCTGTTTCCAGATTCCAGAACATGCAACCAAAAAATTAATAATATACGTGAGAGCGAAGAGAAGTATATGATGCCATTCATCTTTCGCACATGATCTCAGAGTTGACTAAGGACAACAGAAGGCTGACATCAGGCGCTTTTCATGTGACAGATGTGACTACCTATCACTAGTCATGGCAGACTAATACAGCCCCCCTCCCACCAGTGTTTCTCTCTCTCTCTCTTGAGTGTCGTAAAACGAAGAACCTACAAAGGAAGAACACCGAAAAACGTTTATTAGATCTCTCCTAGAATGTACGGTTTCTCTTTGGGTGGGATGTCACGACTGATGAGGAATGCCACTGTGGCTTTCACTCAGGACAAGTACTTGGGAAGGGTCACTGTAGTTGTATGGTAGAGAATCAACACTCGTGTTGCCACTAGTGAAGAGGCCGGCTCTAACAACATGGTCGCATCTATAACTTGTGGGTTCTCTCAACATTAGCTCCGGTTCAAAAGCGAATCCCGAATCTTGGCAACATCGTATGAGAATCATGTGATGTGCGACAGCGCCCACATATTTCGCCTTTAAACGTTGTTACTAAAAGCGTAGCTAGTAGGCTAACATCAGCAGTAAAATATTCGGCGGTTAGGAGAGGGATGTCGCCCACCGGACCTATGGCAGGATGTCTCATGGTTGGCTCCCTAGAAATCAGTTGTACAATTCATAAACCATCTTGTTTTGTTCACAATATTTTGTCGAGATTGGGTAGAGGTAGGATCACATTGATCAAGAACTGGTGTTACCGGAAGGTAATCACATTGCCCGATCGATCGCAGTTGACGCATGTCTTCAAGAAAATAGGATGGTGGACCTTGTTCATAATGGAAACTACTCGCAAGACTGCTGAGAACTCATAAACGAGGGATTCAGGTGAGTCTCCTGTAATAACTAAATTGACATGCAAACGAAGGTAGTTGTCAAATTTCGTGCAGTTTGGGTTCGGGTAGAACATAAGGTCAACGGAAACTCGGGGCTGCACCTACCTCGTGAACCACAAGAAGGGCGAGGCCGGTTGTGGGCTGTCAAGGTCAAATTTCTGCAGTTTGGGTTCGGGTAGAACATAAGGTCAACGGAAACTCGGTGCTGCACCTACCTCGTGAACCACAAGAAGGGCGAGGCCGGTTGTGGGCTGTCAAGAGTTCCCAGAAACCTTGTGAGTAGTTTAATTCATGAATATTGTATCAAATGAAACATGGGGCGCTCACTGAGCAGCACATTCAGTTGAAGAGATTTAGGTGGGTCACGTGAAAACTAAATTGATATGCAAATGAGTGTGCTTGTCGAGGGATGGTGAGCCCTCCATAAATCGATCACTGACGAAGGCGGATGAAGAGGGTCATTGCAAAGGGTTGAACGGTGTAGGGAATTTATTCAGGGTAGCTTGCTTCATTCGCAGATCAGTTATTATCTGCAGTTACATTTGATAAACTGGTTGGCCAAGAACGGCTGAGTGCAAATACTCACACGAATTAAATGACAGGGCCAGGCAAGTTCACCCCTCGAAAATGCTAGTTGCGGACAGCAAGTTCATTGTCGTATCACTATGTCTGATGTGGTTTCGACGATACGATAAAATATAGCAAAACCCGTACGACATAAGGGGCATAATTAGGCAGGTGCATACGAAACCATGTGGATTCGTGCTGTTGCACACTGCATTACAAACTTGTACTTGACCTTTGTTAGTTAACCAAAAGATGGAGTAGGCAGAGTCAAAACACCCATTACATCAAGGCAGATTGGAAAAGGACTGACAGGGTACAGTATTTCAACCCTGTCCATTGTGAATCAGCTCACCCCTACCGAAACGAAGATCAGCCGGGCAACGTGAGAATACACGACGAAACAGGAAAGACTGTACAATCGCACCCGCAATTCTGATAGGTCAACTATGCTCGAATGGTGCCGGATCGGCGTTTGACAGTTTTCTACAGCTCAGTGTATCTGTGGATTATAGGAACCCAAACCAGAGGAAATCGGTGCTGGTTTTCGGCAGTTGTGAATGAGGAAAGTCAAAAAGTCAGTCTTATGAAGAGATTCCCCCATAAATACCAAAGCTGCGTTTGTTCGTGGCCAGACAATCATCAGAGGCTCGATTGGGTCATCCGTCCTGCCTCAGTTGACTGCAGTTGAGTCTTTAAACAGTTTCGGTAACCAGATTACAATGATAGATTAGCGTTCGTCATATACGGTCACGCCAGGTTTTACGTAATATCCATTTAGCCACAGTTTCAGAAACGGTATTCACAAAATCACACGCACTCACTGTAACCGTTCGGTTGTAGCACCCTTTTGGTACTAGCTGCCATGCTACACGAAGGAGGCACGAGGGCTGGGATACTGCCAGGTTGCCCAAGCCCAGACAGGGGAATTCGAGAGGCAAATGTCGGGATGAACCACGGACCTTCCGGTCAGTAAAGTCACGCTTTAACCACTTGGGTCATCTAGCTTACTGTAATCACCACCGTTTCGGTCACCATGACCTTTACGATTACTCTAATGCCATCATTTTCAGGAACATTCCTAATCTTAATTTTGATCCGGGACGAAAAAAAATCATAAATTTCGATAGGGAACATGGAACAGAGCCTGCAAAAGCCAAAAGTGTCCAAATGAGCTCCGCACTACTGCGACTACAGGATGGTGCGCGTCATCCTAATGCACTAACTAAACTTATATCTAATTGGATCTTTAAGCTTGACGGTGGTATCGGTCAAGGTTATTGCAATAATGGTGAAAAGGTCCTACACTTTGGAGCCAATTGGAGAAAAACAATTGGGAAATTCTGACAAACCCGATTACGGATACTTGACCCGGTAAAAACGTCGCAATAAGGTATGAAAGGTCAGACGTTCAGGCGTTGCATAGAAACCAGAACATAGACAACTTATTCGTTCGAACCATAATCTACCATTGGCGAATGTCCCAACACCAGTAAACCTATGGAGCTGTTTCACCAGTGGGCGCATCTGTAGGAACTGTTGAATATCAGCACTCCCATGCTGTAATGGGTGTAAGCTCCAATGGGTGTAAGCCTGTTCTAATTTCTAGCAGTAAAAATATGCTCCCAATACACCTGTACCACTTGTTTATCCACTATAGGCGAAATGATTCATCCTGGACGGTCTCCAGCGGATATCCTTTTATGATACAGTCAAATTAAGCGTGACATTGCACCAACACGTGAAAGACACCAACCTCTTATTGTTCGATTTGTTGCTAGTACTGATTGCAGTGTCATCACGCTAAAGTCGGCTAATGATTCGCGATTCTTATCTGGTCGGACTTACACCGGATTCACATCCGGCTCCGTTCAAACCGGTTGTGTTATCACAATTATGCACAGGAATCCAGTGGTAAGATTAATCTATATCACATGTCAGCTATCATTGTTATGCATATATATATATATATATATATATATATATATAAAGAAAATATAGTAGTTGCTGGTGCAACCTAGGCGAATGATGCGGTGACCCTTATGGGAGTACCTGACTCGCGGAATGACTTTCGTCATCTTGTAAGAATCAGCTTCGCGCCACACACGAGGGGGGGACGCCAATCCAAGCTCAAGAGACACATAAAAGAGAAGGAGCTTATGCACTTATAGTCTGGATTGTCAGACAGATACAGAATTTTGTGTAGCCATCGCGCGGGATATAACTAGTTGTATGGAGGCCTGGGCGGTGTCGATGACTAACGTTCGAACAACGCTGTGAAGGTTAGAGTTCACGACAATGCCTCCGCAATCAATGTGGTCGATTTAACGGCTGTTCAAATGGTAATCAGACAACACTCTTGCCCTGATGGATACGTTGAGAACTTCAAACAACAAAGCAGGAGACGGTAATAAAAAAGATACCCCATGCTTAGTATTCAGTTTTTGAATTAAAAATGAGCATGCTAACATAACCGACTTACGTGAACTATATATTGTTAAGATTGTGGTAGTAATGACTGTAAAACACGGACCATCAGTACAAAGAAGAAGGTCCGATGAGTGTCCATGCTGCAAATACATGACTGACCTGAGTAGATTGGAGTCCGTCCGCAACGTTATTGGAGGGGCATGAAGGCTGACCCAAAAGGTACATCCCGGTTGAAGAAAGTGTGTTGAGTACATTCGTTAGGAGACCACCTTCTGTTCTAGATGGCAGGTTTGAAGTGGACTGCGACTGCGAGCTGGTCACTTGTGTCAAGACGTCTCCGATGGTGGATTGAGGCGGAGTGTCGGAGTACAACTGTTCCCGAGAAATATTACCCGCAGCGCACGTGTTTCGTTGCATGCGTGCTTCGGCACGAGGAAGCCGTAAACCACAATCTAATAGAAGCTTCCTAGCCTCCAAAAGGCTGCAGTCCATTTTACAAAATCCATCATTTTCGCGAATGGTAGAGGCGAATAGTTCCATTTGTTGCACCGATACATTATCACATGGAGAATTGGTCATGTGTTGTCCCAGGACAAGAATGACCCATTTCATGAAGTCTGGTTGAATGGGAAGAGAATGAGTTCACTGAAAGCGGTGAAACGGGCGTAGAAGGGTGATAAGTAGCAGAGACAAAGCCTCTAGAGGCTCCATAGTCAGTAGTGCGATAGGTCTTTCCAGAGTTGGACGTTTTGCTAACAACGTGTTCACTTCTCACAGCTTCGACAAATCGGGTGCTGTGTATGAAAAATCATGCTAACCAGCCAACCATCGACAGCAGATTCAGTCTCCAACAGTCTATTTCTGGTGTTTTCTAGCCCAGCTGCTTTTCCACTAGCTGATGCAGTGCTAGGTCGCCATGAAGTATGTAATCAGTACAGTTCATTTGCCCGGCATATTTAAAAAAGTAATGATAAAAGTGGACTAATAATACTCCCGAATTTCCTCTCCAACAGTATAACGTGCTAAATGAAATAAGGAATACCCCAAATTAAGGAAGGCATCAACAATAACTGTGCTCTCAGATCAACTGGGATGAAACAGACAAAAGGTCATAGTCAGGTACTGCTACAATCCACTTTAAGGTGAATTTGTGTTCCCTCGGAGTACTCATCTTTGAACTTTAATAGGCAGAAAGATAAGCGCACTGGGGATGGCCGCCAGAAAAGTGGTGAAACGTTTGAGGGCGAATCGTTAAGCAAGATGAACAGATCAACAATCATCCAGGCTATCTGCATTCCGATACACAGATGAGTTTTATAGCGTTATCATGCAAGGCGCTGTACAAGTGCATCCTGGTTCACTGCAATGAATCTGTAGATGGCATTCCGTAAGTGATGTAACCTACCCCGCGTGGGTGCCCACCAGCGTATATCGGTGTGACAGGCCGATTCGGGACGAATTTCAACCCATCACACCAGCAAAGACCTAGGTCATGTTGTACATAATATGGAGAACCAAACGAAAGATTGTCAAATAACTTTTTTGTCTTTTGGCGGTAAAGGATATCATTTTTGTTTGGTTCTTAATCAGGACATTCGCAACGCCATTGTTGAACTCTTGCCATGGGTACCGATTTCGAACCATGCCTTTGCACGCTACCAGCGGCAATGAGTACCTTTCGATCCCCAAAAAGGATACCGCCAGACTTCATTCGTACAAGCCATTTCATGTTATGCTCACATAGTTCTATCTTCTATCTACTCTCACTATACACAGACAAGGCATGATTGAGGAAAGGCGGTGACAGCATATTCAAGTCATCGCAACTGGGATGATGGTATTACGTCTAAGGGAGCTGGCTGGGCTCTGATGAGTGGAAAATGACGCAGTAGCTTACTGCCCAGCAATGTAACAACCGATTGCGAGGGATACGGTTTGCTGGGGCGCTGGCGTTTTGCGATTGTACGGCGAAGCGTCAGTGCTTGAGCATTGATTTTGTGTTGCCGATGATGATGATGATAGCGCGCCAGTAAATATCCAATGGATTTCCTATAAAAATGCTGAAATCACACATTTGGATTTACATTCCGAGCTACTTGAAACCTATGAGTAGCACTTGCCGAATTGAGCTTACCATACACAATGGAACCATGTGATATGCTTATACGAGGTGTATGCAAGGTGAACAATTTGGTAGCAGAATATTGTTCGTTGAAGTTTGTTAGCTGATGCATAAGCTATCAACACATGGTACATTTTCTTTTTATTTGGATTTCATCCAGAACATGCTAGGAGCACCTGTGAGGAGAAACAAGGACCGTAATCACCATCCCGATTTTAATATACGCTACTCCGTCTTAGGTAGTAGTATAAAACAAGAGCTAAAAAGGGATGCGGAGTCTGCACCACCCGTGACGAGTAGCGGAAACACTGTTGCAACCAAATGGTGCACTTTTCACGAATAGAAGTTATCGTACACGCTTCGCATAATCTAAACGAGGGAACAAGGTCAGCATCCTTGAAGCCGGACAATGCGCACTAGGATTCAAGACTTCAGAGAGGCGAATGTTGTTGTTGGTAGTGTGAGGAGATTTGGGGTTTTTGTGGAATTTCGTCCTGTAAGTGAATGTTGTATCACCACCGTAACAAACACCTATAGCTTCTCTGACCTCTGAAATTTGTTGGGGTCTCGTCTCCCGCGTTCTCGCCAATGGTCATACAACCTTTCAGATAAAAGAAGACCTCGACTAGTCCCAACATGTTTCCAATTGGGGTTGGAGCGAACATGGGCTTGCGCTAACCCTGGAACGGGACCATGCATTTCGTGGGAGCAAGACACACACTAACGTATCACCATGGTTAGCAGATGAGTTAAAATGACCCTCACATTCCGGACGGTTGGAGCAGTCATCAAAATATTATCCGAGAATCCTAGATTGATAAGATTACCTACCAAAACTCGTTCTACACCAATTCTGGCATTCTAGTCCAGTGTGGAAGGTATTATGGGACAAGGGGGTAACCTTGACGTGCTAAGATGGAGACAATAAAACATGGCGAAGGTCACTGAATACCCTGACTATGTGAGGTCTGCTGGTACAAAACGTTGACCCCTAGAATGTATTTCTCGTGGATCCCACGTATTAAAAAGCATGCCTAGAGAACTTCTGAGTCGAGAGAGCCAAAGGACGATATGTTATACAATAAGGCATCGACTTGGTTTACGATGTGTGGCGCTGTGCTAGTACTAGGCAAAGGACGAAGGTGCGATCTATTTAACTACGGTCAGAGCGAAAACTACTCTGGTCTTGCTGACTCTGTTCTAGCTGCTTGAGCAGGAACAATGAGACAACAACTGAGATACAACCGAAATCAGTTCCAGCAGACGAAAGTTGCTGCGAATGTATTTTAATTATAAGAGCCACAGAAGACTAAGAACGTTGGGAAAAAGTTCNNNAGTTTATGGGTACGTACCATGTGCCAAAGGTAAACTGGCTCCGTCTGATACACCTAGGGTAGTTCAGGAATGGAAAAGCAGGAGAGATATAGCCAAGTATTGAAGGTGGCGGCCCAATCAATTAATGCAGAATTATTCTGCTGCATGGTAGCCGAAAATTGAGTAGCTAAACGGTAAAGCTAGCTCCACACAGTGATAGCTCTTTCACAAGAGCGCTACTGATCGCGGGATTGAACAGAGTTTACTAGTTTCATTAACTGAGTCAAGCCTCAAGGCTCCCAGGGAGGTAAACATCGTTAATGCGAATAAGTTTACTGGTTAGGATCGATGCCAGGTCATAGACTGTCTGCCTCTTTGCAGTTTTTCACTCGATGCAGTGCTGGACAAAAGTAGCTCGGTGAGGTACACGTCCAAAGTAAACGTCCGAGCCATTGTAAACTATGAAGCGTGATTGGATCGTCCACCGTATGAGATTCTTCCCCGTACAGCCCCAAAAGCGCTGATCAAATCAGAGAACAGGGGATTGTTGACTTGTACCAAATTATAGAAGGGAGGCTATTGGCACGACACACGAGATATCACATCGTATTTTCTTGACAGAAAACGTCACTCATACAGTTGCTGAGGTCTCCCTGACATACCTCGACCAAAATCACCCCCCTGGGGGCTCATCACAGGGGTGCAATTACCGTCAAGTTTGCACTTTCCTGGGAAAACAGACGGTGCACCGTTGGTGAAACATATTCATTTGCAAATAAAGTTGGTGTTAATTGGAAACTTAACTGAATCACACCAGAGTCCGTGGTTTTTGATATTCTTCAGCTGAATGTGTTGCCGTCCTATGTTTCAGCTGGTACGATGTTCGAGATATCGCAGTATATTTTTCTGACGGAACATACAAATCGTACAATTTGGTGTTCAAGTAGAACATGGGGTTGTAGGAAACTTGGACACTGCACCTACGTGATGAGCCTTAAGAAAGCTGAAGCCGCTCATGGGTTATTGGATGGTTTTCAACAGCCTTATGAAGTCTGCTCCGTTTAGAAAGTGCTAAATTAGTCCACTAGAGCCGTATATTAATCATTTCCAAAGACAACTGTTGCTAAATTTGTTCAGCTGTAGCACCCTTTCGGGGCCTAACAGCCATGCTGCCAGAAGGAAGCATAAGGGCTGGGATATCGCCAGCTTGCCCAAGCCTAGACGGAGTGTTGCTAAATTACCTGAGCCCGATGGTCTGTGGTACTTGGACGACTGAAATTCTTCGTGAACAGCAAGACTACTAGTTGGCATTAAAAAGTCTATTTTAAGATGCCCACTTAAACTGTGCCTGAAAGCATATACTCATCGTTAAATTCGCCACCTGTCGTTCAGATTACTTGACTGACAGTCCTTTTCTGCCTATGCAACGAATGAGATGGGATAAATTTTCAGAGTTCCAAGGGGCAGTGGAGAATCTCATTTATGAAATGTGTTATTGCTGCCAAGTTTCACGATCCTACCGCGCTTTTCAGAAGTAAGCCAATCACGGTGCGCCGTGTCCCCGTATCTTGACTACCAGATAGTAGCGAGCGGTAGAGAACTTGGTACACAGTTTACAGCTGGATAACCCAAGTGAACTGACTGTCGCTGCCAATTCGTTCAAGGCCACTTGGCTATCGCCGTAGCGAGGTATCACTAATGCTTTCCTTCAGAGAAATTTCACGATCCAGCTCGGGAATAGACAGGAATCTGTATCAACTTCCAACTTGGTTTGTGATTGACAAAACTCATTGAAATCTTTGCGCACTTTAGTTTGGTGGTGAGACCTAACAAAAAGGAGCAAAGGTCAGAGATTTCTAAACCCGAACTTCAACGAAGGTAACGCGGCACGTAACTTTCTTCGAAGGGTATGGTCTATACGGCTACAAATACGCTGTTATGATACAGGAAACCAAAACGTGGTCTCTTCGTGCACAAGACGCCAGTCAGCCGATGGTTGTTTACAAAGCATTGCATACATTTGGTGGCAAAAACGTATAGGCAATGACGCAAATTTTTATAGAGTTGGAACCTTTGAAGGTGGTTGGGACCGAATTAGCTGAGACGGCTCAGGCACGCTATAAGCATCCCTTTCCGACACTTGTCCGATCATAGATTCCGCGTTCTTTCTTGCAGTAGGAA